AAACATTGAATGCGGAAGACTTCATTTAAATTTCATAAAACATAACCTTTATCTTAAAACACAGTCATGGACTTACGTGTTTTGAAAACATCTTTAAAACGACACAACAAAAGACCCGAAATAAAATAAATAAGCGTTTTAGTTTAAAACATCCCATTCTATCCTAAGCCTAAGAAAATAAATACCACTATCCTATGCATGTGCCATGATCTCGAGTTGTGATGTCGTCGTCAGCTGTACAGGAATGCCTTGCCTTAACCTGAAAAATGTAGTAGCACATGGCTTGAGTATTTAAAAAAATACTCAGTGAGTGACCCACCTATTGGGGTTAAATGCAACAATCACATGCAATGAAATGATGAGACCTGTCTTCCATTTCGTTTCATTTTCCCTACAGTGTAATCCTAACAGGTAATTGTGGACGTGTACCATATACTCTACACGCAGCCCATACGTGCGAGTATGGGCTCACCAGCTAGTTCGCACACCGCTGGGCCACTGTCCCTAGCCGGTGGGCATGCTCTGGTGGCCCATCGGGACCCGTTAAAACTAAAACCGTCACGGCAGCGCTATGCAGGGCATAACGATCGTTGTCCTGCCATTTGGATGTACACGTCCGTACCCTCGTGATGGGATAGGGGTATCCCCCCAAATGCATGATCACACAATATGCATGAGGTCCCACTAGTCCTACAGTCATCATTTAATGAACATAATCCCGTATCACGTTTTCATGCTTACATGTCATTCTCATTCTCATTCTCATTTCCTTACATATCATACATATTCCTAGCGGGGTTATGTATCATGCAATTTACCGTATTTCATGTCATACAATTCATTCAGTTACATTTCAATACTCATACAACAAGCCATAATCGTACAAGGGCCACACATCGTCACATGCATTCATATCACATCAACTAAGCAGCATAAATAACATACATTCACGTTCACATGATTTCGTACTTAAGCACAATAATCTAGCATACAATGTATCATATTATAACCAAGTCAATAACGTAAACACTTCATAGTCATATCGTTCTCTAACTTATCATAGCCTTAACGTTCTTATACCTATCACAGACATATCATTACGTGAAGTACCTTAGTCATATCGTCACAAGAACGTACCCTAATGCTATCGTTCCATCAATCTATTAGAAACCTATCCCTTTCTACCCATAACCTAACCGTATTCATTCATCAATCTCTCATATCCATAGCACTCCGGTATGTAACCTAACTCTAACGTTTCATGAACGTATCTTACTCCTATCGTTACATTTCGTTTTGTGCATCCTTCTCGTATCCTATCTCAAACATCTCCTAGAGCACATCGTACCATAATTATTATCATACAATCCACATCACATAACATAACATAACATATAGGAAGCATATCGATCCACAGACAATTCACACATATCAATATATATGACACGTGCCGAACCATAGGACACGTATCAACATCAAATATAATCATGCCGATAGTAAGGTCACTTACCTGGTCAGCTTAAGTCGCTGTCACGAATATATCTTTAATTAAAGTTCGATCCCGTCATTTGAAATCCGAGTCAACCTATATGAGCCCATGACATTAGTTTCAGGTTTGAACTCTACAACATTATTTCTCTAATTTACATGGGTCCATTGTTAAAAGTCTGAAATGTTATATATCTATAATTATATTTTTATTAAAAATCTTATTTTTCATACTGTTGTATAAGAGAGTAGATATAGCTTTTTCAAATTCTAGGCTTTACTACTCTCGGTAACTCTCTGTATTTATGGTACGTGTTTACCTTTTTCCCTCTATATTTAGTTTGTGGTTTTTAATTTTTTTTTATCTGTTTCCTTTTAATTCTGTTGTCATGCCTTCCAAATTTACAGTGATCTCTGTTTCCAAATCTTTCCTTATCTTAGTGTTTCCTATTCAAAAGTTTTCTTGGTCATTCTATCTTTAATCTATTCATTTGGCTACTGATAAAAATTTAATCTAATATTACTAATCTGACGTGATTGACTATAGAATCGTATAAATGATTGACATTTAGTTTCTAACTCAAAGCTAGATCATTGTAATAATTCAATGAAGATCTAGTTGTGATTTCTAAAAAATATAGGATAAAAGAAAATAACGATTTAATATATACCTTGTTGATAAGATCTATCTTCACGTAAATCTACTGTGAATCCCAATTGGGTAAAGGTCATTCTCATTTTTTTTTTTCTCAAGTAAATCTTACGATTATTGATTTTTTGTTTTTTTTTTGCAGTAATAGTTATTTGCGTCAGGATGGGTTGAGGAGAGATAATTGAAAGGGATGAGAGGTTAGTAGAGAGAGGTGGAGAAATATTGTTGTTATTTATTTATTTATTATTATTTTAACTATCTTATTATAATTAATTTTATTTATTTATTTGTTTATTTATTTTTTGCTATTACAATGACAGTTAATACACACACTTAATATGAAATAACATCCTATTAAGTCATCTCGTCATCATGTTATCATACATCATCATCATAACATCATCAACATCATGTCATCATCATATTACGTCATCGTATAACATCATATAACATAGTCACTTATCATATAACATAGTCACATCATCATATAACATAGTCTCATCACCATACAACATAGTCACATCATCATATAATATAAAGCATAAATGACACGTGCAAGGGCCATTAGACACGTGTCGTCATACACGAGGCAAGTCTTTCGACCGAACCGATAGTAAGGCCACTTACTTGGTTGGTTTTAGCCAACTTTCTCCTAAACTCGAGTATGTTTGAATTCTGTCCCTCAAAGTTGCTCCAAGTATCATTGAGAGTTGTTTCCTATTATAGAACGTTCATCTCGTGTCGTTAACAATTCGCATTTCTAACTTAATTTTAGAATGTTCATCTCGTGTCGTTAACAATTCACATTTCTAACTTAATTCAACTTGAAGTGAATTAAGTTGGGAAATAGGACGTTATATCGACCTCAATTACCTTAACTAAGGTCAAATTCAGCTACATAAAGGTAAAAAAATGTAAGGAATGGTGTGAAATTGTACAACCTGAGCCCAGTAGCCGCTTTGCAGCCATTAAAGCCGCGCGAGCCGGGCCAAGCCGATCGGGTTGAAGGAGTCGGCATCTGCATGCACGACATGTGCTACTGGGTTGCATGTGAGGGTTGGGGCTTGGGCTGTGTCGTAGCTGTTGGGTCGTGGCTATGGTGTTACTGGACTTTGGATGTGAGCCGAGGCTTAGTGGCTTGTTAGTCTTCGGGGTTGGTTGATGGATCGGTGCAAACGATTATTCGACCTAGATACGGATCCATGGATCTCGTCTTCCTTGCCCGAATCATGTTAGATCTGATGATATTTTTTCTCTCCTCTCGAACGTCTCTGACGTTGTTCCATCGTCGTCTCTGCTGTTCCTCAACCTAGATCTGATCTCTTTCACCTTGCACCGACCTGCCCTTTTATTCCTATGGCATTAGAGGTATTTTATTAAAGTTTAGGACTAAACCAAGCCCATTTGACTGATTCAATGCATGATGGACCATTAAGGTGCTCCATTTTTACCAAATTAATAAAAAAAACTCTAAATTGGATGGAAGGGAAAGCATGCATAGATATCCATATTTAGGTACGAAAAAAATGTTCTTGCCTTGTATAATGTTATGATAGGGAGAAGATTAAGGGTCCGGCCGAATAACTCCTAATTGTGAACTCGACATGGTCGTTGAGAGTCTGGATAACATTTTAGAACCAGCTATATTTTATGCATACTCTGTGCACAAGTTTGCCCGTTCATTTCTCTTTTTGTGAGTTGGTAGACCTAGGATTGTTCTCTTTGGGCTTCCCCTTTCGGATTTCCCCTCAAGGCTATAAAATACGTCTGTTAGAGGAAGGTTTCCACACCCTTATAAAGGGTGTTTTGTTCCCCTCCCCAACCAATGTGGGACATCACAATCTACCCCCTTCTGGACTCAACGTCCTCGCTGACACTATTTCCTTTCTCCCATCGATGTGGGACTCCCACCGAATCTACCCCTTTGGGGCCAGGGTCCTTATTGATTTATCAAAGAGAATGGGGAATAAGTACGTACAAAAGGAGATGGAAGGGAATGGGGAATAAGTACGTACCGGGGAGATGGAAGAGAATGGGGAAGAAGTATATAGAGGGATATGGAAGGGAATGGGGAATAAGTACGTACCGAGGGAAATGGAAGGGAATGGGAATGGGGAATAAGTATGTACCGAGAGAGATGGAAGGGAATGAAAATGGGAAATAAGTACGTGCCGAGGGAGATGGAAGGGAGTGGGAATGGGGCATAAGTATGTAGAGGGAGATGGAAGGGAAAAGGGAATAAGTACGTACACGAAGATGAAAAGGAATGGAGAATAATTACGTAAGAGGGAGATGGAAGAGAATGAGACGTTAGTAGCGACTCTAAATATATAAAAATTTAAGGTCGTTACGTGAATCTACTTAAATTTCAAATATATACTTATATTTATGTATTTAGTAAATATTAATTATTTTAATATTTAATATATGAAATACAATAAATTTATTTTTTCTTAATATATTAAATATTAATTTTAAACACTTTTACATTTAAATTAAATATATATTTTTTCAAATATGTATGTATGTACCTACATAAATTATACACAAATCCAAATAATATTAAAATGAAAATATATAAAATTTTCCGATAAAAAATCATGTCATTAAATGAAAACCTACCAATAAAATTATTTAATATATGAATTTAAACAAAGTTTTAATTTATGAACTAATCCAATTAAATTTATGCAATTTTTGATATTATTAAAATTAATAATTTAGTTAGGTGATAAAATAAATTAATCTAATTTTCATTTGAAGTAAAAAAAAAAAAAAGTTGGGAATGACGTTGTCAACGAACATAATGGTGATTAGTTAGTTTTGGTGTATATTTAGAGAGTGAATGGTGAATAAATAGAAAAGAAAAGCAAGAGCTTCATCTCACTCATTCAAAAATGGGAACAATGAAGCTCTCCATCTTTATCCTCCTCGTCTTTGTCGTAGCTGTTCCGCTCTCCTTTGCCTTACATGAAACCTCCAACGCTTCATCCCTTGTCAACGATAATGCTGCATATAGCTTCTTTGGCGGAGACTCCTCCGAAGCCATGACTGAAGATAGTCGTCGACAACTTTTCCAATATGGATTCGTTTATAATAAGGAAGCCCGCAAGAGGTATTTAAGCTACTATGCACTTAGGCAGAATAATATCCCTTGTGGCCGTCGTGGTACCTCTTACTATGATTGCAAGAAGCGTAGAAGGATCAATCCTTATCGTCGCGGTTGTGCCGCTATCACTGGATGTGCTCGATTCACTGATTAAATGAAGTTATGTTGTCTTGTTGAATTGGATTGTCTTTACTTTTATCATCATGTATCTTTCATCATCCTCATGTATTCATCTGTTTGGTCTCCTTTAATTTTATCTCGGTATCTTGCTTTTATTATAATGGATTGATCTAATCGGTCTCCTTTTAAATTTATTTTGGTTATTTTTTTATTTTTTAAATCCTCGTATGGTCTCAATCCTTATTATCGTGGTTGTGCCACCATCACTTGATTTAGTGATTGAAAGGAGTTCTATTTTCTAGTTAAATTATTTCAGTTATTTTTTTTATTTTAAATCTTTGGGTTTGAATTGAAAAAAAAAAATATGTTAATTATTAATCTAAATAAAATGATTTCAATTTTATCCCATAATATTTATGCTATTGTTAAATGTAATTTGGATAAAAATTTTGGAATGTAATTTCGAGTGTGAATTCATTATTATAATTGTATGTGAAAGAGAGTTGAATAGATATCGGTTGTGTTTGAAAGGTTATGAATCAATTGATATGAAAGGTTATGAATCAATTGATAAGTCCAATACCAATATATATTGTCTGCTAATACACGACCAATTAATGTTTGGATAATTTTTTTTTCCAAAATCATCTTATTTTCGGGACTCACTGAAATCTCTTGGATGGTTCCACAATTGGTTCTAATTTGAACGACTTAAACAAGTCCGCGTGTAAGATATCAAGTCTGCGTGTAAGCACAAGTGTTGATGACAACAAAAATTGAAGTGAAATTGAGAGGATGAATGATTTGAATTGAAATTGAGAGGATGAATGATTTGAATTTTATAGGATGAGTGATTTGAATTTTATAGGACGAGATTTCATTGCTTCCCGGAGTTGGTTGGGATTTATGCTTTCACACCGGAGTTGGTTGGGATTTATGCTTTCACACCTCCTCCTCCTCCGTAACTAAATCACACCTCCTCCGTAACTAAATTTGTTAAACAAATTATTACTTCTCTATCTTTAGAAATGTTTCAGTGTCCTTTCACCACCCCTTTAGAGATGTATCTACTAGTCTTCACCACCCCTTTAAACTGAATTCAACACCCCTTTAGAAATTTATCTACTAGTGTCCCTCCAACAAAACTGAATTCTACCGAAATCAGTTTAGGTCTGCGATTTGTTCATCACTTCAGCAAGTTGAGTTCAATTTGTTCATCACTTCAGCAAGTTGAGTTCAATAATGCCTTCTTTACACGATGTGCTTACTCCTTCCATCGCAACACAGGATTTTTAGACAACTTAATAGTTGACATATTATCATAATATATAACCGTTAGACAACTTAATACTTGACATATTATCATAATATATAACCGTTGTACCTGGTTGCTTATTAAGAATTCTGCTTCTGTAGTTGAGAGTGTTACAATAGGTTGCTTCTTTGAAGACCAGCAAATAGCTCTTGAACTCATCATGAAAATACTTCCTGAAGTACTTTTACGATCATCTATATCACCTGCATAGTCGCTATCTGTATAGTCAACCATCTTCGAATCATCTTCTTTCTTGTAGAATACCCCCAAATCAAAGGTTTCTCTCACATAACGAAGTATCATTCTTGCTACATTGAGATGTTTTTGTTGGTGTTAATATAACACATGCGGAAGCAATTTGGATCTTAGGCACTTTTAGAACATCAATTATTGTAAATTTACTAGCATGTTCATAAGTATTAAAAGTTAATGAGTTTAAATACTAACCTTTTGTAGTTCAAACTCTTTTTGCCTCACGAACCGGTTTCGAACCACCACCAGTGTCTTCTCCACTATCCTCCGGCCTTAGAACGGGATTGTGGAATCCGGTGAGTGACTAAACTTGGGAGGGATTTTGTATATGTGAAAGAGAGTGTTTGTGAGAAGTTTTTCTCAAGGTTTTTCATCAAGATGAAGAAATCCCCTCCAAGTATCATGATCACTCTATTTAAAGAGTCAAGTTTGCATGTTCATGCAAACTTGAGATCACCAAATTTTGACACTTAAAATTCCACTCAAATGTTTGGGATTATGTGGCAAGCATGCATGTTTGAGTTAACTAAATTTTGACACTCAAAATTCCACTCAAACTTGTGGGGTTTATTTGGCAAACATGCAAGTTTGGTTAAACCAAATTTTGACACCTCAAAATTCCACTAACATGGCTTTTTCCATTAGATGAAAGTCAACATTTTGACTTTCTTCATTTTAATTCAACAATTAATTTGAATAATGAATTTCAAATTAAAGTAACATTAAATGATTAATTAAACTATTTAATTAATATTTAATATTAATTCAAATGCCAATCCCAATCAATTCCGACACATAATTGATTAAGATATTTAAATCTTATTTAAATATCTCAGATTCTCTCTTTTCGTTTAATTCGTGAATAAAACAAAATTGCGGTTAAATATATCGTATATATGTAACGCATATTCCCTAATTTGAATTCGAACACTTCGAAATCACTCGTCACATTGTTCTATGGTTTAGTCCAATATGAGCTAGCAGAGGGACCTAATGGACCTATAGATCATGGGCTCCAACGATTCAAGATTAACCGATTAAACTCATTAACCTGGTTAACCAACATTCGTTAACTATTAGGACACTCCACTATAACCTAGTAGTTGCACTCCCCTCACTATAGATATATTTCTGTCCATTTGATATAACCATGATTAGTAAGTCGATCCTTCACAGGTTGTTCGTAACTAGAGCTGGGTCAATTTACCGTTTTACCCCTGAAGTTACTTCTTGTTCCTTATGTCTCACTGATCTTCTAATGAACAATTGGTTTATGGTCCAACCAGTAAACCGAATCCCTCTCAGACCAATGAAAGGGTGGGGGCCCCTTGTTCAAGACCTGGAGTCAGTGCTTAAGGGAACTACCTTTCTTCTATCCCTAAAAGTGGGTAGGAGTGAATTCCGTCTTGCACCCCACGTCCCCAGCCATTCACCCAGTCTTACCCCTGAAATGGGAGGCCTGTTGAGTTGGTGAACTAGAGCCACTCTCACCCATGCAAATCTAAGGATAATTCCGAGTAAACAGGAGTTCATGGTTAGCTCAGGATTAAAACCGAGTTACCTAGGTTATCGAATGAAAAGAAAATCAGTCTCAACAGTAAACGACTTTATAAAGTGAGAGTGGTTTTCTTCATGGTCCGATCTTATGCAATACTCATTGCATAGGACGCCCCCACTCACATGTTTCCACATACACAATTTAGTGATCACATTGTTTATATCATATACAAAAGTGGGCCGCATCCATAGTGTCCCCAGAATAAGGTACTCAGCCTTATCCTTATACTATAGATCATTTTGACTATATACTTGAACTTGATCCACTCTTATGTCTCTACATATAGTTCAAGTAATCATACTATAGCCAGAGTGTTCTTAGTTTATTGAATTTAGATTAATGATCGTAAAGTTCACTTTATTCAATAATAATTTTTACTGAATAAACATCAATAATAACTTTATTGAAATTAGAATATATCTTTGTTTACAAACTATGAGTTTTAGGACATAAAACCCAACAGTTTTTCCGTTGGATGCTCCTAACCGCATACATGATGTCTGGTCTTCTTGAAGTTAAGTACATCAAACTTCCCACAATTTGTTTGAAGTACCTATTATCAACCTCTTGCCCTTTAATATCCTTGTGCAACTTCAAACCCAATTCTGATGGAGTTCCAAATGTGCACTCATCCAATTTAAATCTTTCAAGTAATTCTTGAGCATATTTCTTCTGACAGATAAAAATTTAAATCTTTCAAGTAATTCTTGAGCATATTTCTTCTGACAGATAAAGTTAACTGCAAGAGTTTGAGTAACTTCTACTCCAAGAAAATATCTCATCAAACCAAGATCTGTCATTTCAAATTCCTTCATCATGCTCTTCTTAAAAATTCAAACATTTCTTCATTATTGCCAGTAAATATTAAATCATCAACATATAAGCAAATAATGAGAATGTTACCTCCCTTTTCAGTTTTCACATACAACGTATGTTCATACGAGCATTTAGTGAATCCCATCCTTTCAAAATGAGAATTAATGCGACTGTACCATGCCCTGGGAGCTTGCTTCAAACCGTACAAAGCTTTCTTCAACTTGTATACTTTTTCCTCTTTACCTTTTTGAACAAAACCTTCTGGTTGCTCCACACATACCTCTTCTTGATGCTCTCCATGTAGGAAGGCCGATTTCACATCAAGTTGATAAATTGGACAAGATTTCTGTGCTGCAATAGAAATTATAAGCCTGTAGTATCTTGACGTGCCGCTGGTGCAAATACCTTCTTATAATCAACTCCATACTTCTGCTTGTATCCTTTTGCAACGAGTCGCACCTTGTACTTATCCACCTCATCGTTTTCGTTCAACTTGGTTTTGAAAACCCATTTTACTCTAATTATTTTTTGCCCTCTAGGAAGATCAGTGAGCTCCCAAGTCTTGTTCTTCTCTATGGATTTGATTTCACTATCCATAGCTTCCTTCCATTTCTTCTCCTTTACCGCTTCTTCATAGACAATTGGATCACTATCCATAAAGAATACAAAATAAATACTATCACTTGATTCATAGTCCATCTCATAATCAACCATCCAATTTGGTCTCTTTCTTGTTTTTGGATTTCTTTGATTATGATCATGATCTTCTACTGGTTCTTCTTGTTGAGCTTGTGATGTGCTCTCTCCATGCTCATAGTGAGGCTGAATAGGGGCTTCAGTTTGTTCTTCTTCAAGATCTACAGGAATCTGCTGATTCACAGTGATCTTTTCTTCCCATGTCCAAGTCTTCTTTTCGTCAAAGATTACATCACGACTTACCACCACCTTCTTTGTCAAAGGATCATAGAGCTTGTACACCTTAGAAGTCTCGCTTACTCCAAGGAACACACACTTCAAACTCTTGTCCTCAAGTTTCTTCCTTTTCTCATCAGGAATGTGTGCATATGCTATGCACCCAAAGATTCTAAAGTGGTCTACTGCAGGTTTTCTTCCGTTCCATGCTTCTTGCGGAGTCATATCTTTAACAGAAAAAGTAGGGCTCCTGTTGAGAATGTGAACGGACTACATGACAGCTTCTGGCCAGAATTCCTTCGGGACTTCTTCTTTATTTAGTAAACTTCGAACCATGTTGAGAATGGTCCTGTTTTTCCTTTCGGCCACACCATTTTGTTGTGGTGTATATGCTGTTGTTAACTGCCTCCTTATGCCCTTCTCTTTACAAAATTTAATAAACTCGTTCGAGAAGAACTCTCCACCTCTGTCAATTCTTAAAGCCTTGACTCTTCTTCCAATTTCCGTCTTCATAGTAGTACAAATTTTTTTGAAGCAATGAAAGGCTTCTGATTTGGCGTGCAAGAAATAAGTCCATGTTTTTCGACTAAAATCATCGATGAGGGTCATGAAATATTTCTTGTCACCATTTGATGCCGGAGAGATGGGACCACATATGTCTGAATGAATCAACTCCAAAATTGCTTGAGCTCTTCTTGATTTTCCGGATGGAAAATAATTTCTTTCATGTTTTGCTACTACACAGCTCTCGCAAATTTCTGTTGGAGGAGTAATATATGACAACCCAGTTACCATCTTCTTTGAAGACAACGTCTTTAATTCTTTGAAGTGTAGATGACCATACCTAAAATGCCAAAGCCAGGTGGTATCTTCTTTCACCATCAAACTTTTGGCAACGATATTTAACGTCAACGGATATAGACGGTTGGTGGTCATCTTCATCTTAGCAATCAATCCTCTTTTGGAATCATAAATCTCACATTCATCATTTTGGAATGTGATCACATACCCCTTTTCTTGTAACGGACCAATACTAAGTAAGTTGGCCTTCAACTCAGGAATGTAGAATACATTAGAAATAGACTCTACAAAGCCATTTCTAATCTTGATATCTATGGTTTCTTTCCCCATCACTTGGATAGTTGAATTGTTGCCAAGAGAAACAGTAGTATGAAAATTTTCATCCAGAGTTGAGAAGAATTCCTTACAACCTGTCATATGGTTGCTGTACCCAGAGTCTACGACCCATACACCTTGATCTGCAACCTTCATAGCATGGAATGACATTAACAATATTTCTTCTTCTCTTCTCTCCACAAAATTGGATTGATCTCTTTTCTCCTTTTGAGCCTAATATAGCATTCATTTTTGTAATGTCCAAGGCGTCCACATCTGTAGCATTCCACCTTAGACTTGTCAAAGTGTCTCTTGCCTTTGTTGTCATAATCGTTTCTGACTAGATCTGCTGACCTGCTAACATCTCCACTTCTTTTTCGACTGCCTCTCCCACGACCTCTGCCTCTTCTTTGCCCTCTACCTCTAGGGCTTGAAGTTTCACTTGGTGTAGATATCTTTAAGGCTGTCATCTTCTCTATTGCACTTGTACGATTGAGTCTCTGTTCATGTACTAACAGGGAGCTTTGGAGTTCATCTATTTGCATCTCTTCGACATTGTTTGCTTCTTCAATAGAACATACAATGTAATCGAACTTTGAAGTTAGTGATCGCAAAATCTTTTCTACGACCGCAACATCCGTGATTGAATCACTATGCATCCTCATTTTACTTGCAAGACTCATAACCTTGCCAACATAATCATTCATCGTTTCTCCCTTTTGCATTTGGAGAATTTCAAAGTCTCTTCTAACTGCTTGAAGTTGAGCATGTTTTACTCTCGTTGAGCCTTGATACTTCCTCCTCATAGAATCCCAAATTTCCTTGGACTGAAATAAATAGTTCTTGACCTTCAGGTCTTTCAATTTCGATGCTGCCAACAGCTGTTGTTGGCCAGCTAAGAGTACCTCGCCTTCATTTGGCTCTTCATAACCTGTCTCCGCCATATCAAAAAACTCCTTTGATCTGAGAAAATTTTCCATCAACATCACCCAATGATCATAGTGACCATTGAACCTCGGGATGGTGGGCTAAACGTAGCTCTCAATTTATTTTTCTGCTGCCACCTTGTTGCTGCAAGATCGCTCTAATACCAGTTGTTGGTGACAACAAAAATTGAAGTGAAATTGAGAGGATGAGTGATTTGAATGATTGGAAAGGGAGGTCATTTTATAGGACGGGATTTCATTGCTTCTCGGAGTTGGTTGGGATTTCTGTGGATGAAATTGCTTTCACCTCCTCCTTCTCCGTAGTAACTAAATTTGTTAAACAAATTATACTTTTTCTATCTTTAAAAATGTATCTACTAGTGTCTCTTCAACAACAAGTCTGCGTGTAAGATATCCAGCACAAGTCTGCGTGTAAAATATCCAGCATTCGATTGTTGAACGACTTCAACAAGTGAAGTTTGCGTGTAAGATATCCAACATCCAACAAATCTGCGTTGAACGAGTTCAACAAGTGAAGTCTGCGTGTAAGATATTGTAACGCACCTAATTTTCTCTATCCTAATTAGCGATGTTACCTTGTAATAATATAACGAAAGTGCGATAGTTTATGTAAGACAGCCTAAAAAATGACAATACGTTCATTATTATAAGCCGTTCATACCTGGGGAAAACAATAACGACAGCCTAACCTAGAAATAATCAACAGATAATTAGAGGGACAATTGTAATAATTATTAACCGAGAGAATCCAACAAGATGCCTACGACACTACAAACCCTCCTTAAGACTTCCATGGCCTTCGCAACATCCCCGTCAGCCGTACATGGGGGCCTTGCCCTTACCTAAAAATATGGGTAGCACGTGGCTTGAGTATTATATAAAATACCCAGTAAGTCACCCCACTGTTGGGGTTAAGCATATAATCATACATTAGGATACACGCGATCGCATACAATACACATACATAAGCACAAGTGTCAAAAGAAACTGAGAGAGGTCTGCCTTCCATTCCTTCCCATGGCCTTAGGCCCTTGCTTTGTCCGGGCGGGGGTAGATGCATGGTACTTTCCCACACATGGCCCACGTGTGTGACTGTGGGCCCACCAGGCGAGCTCGCAAGCGAGCTCCCTAGGCTTGGCTTGGTCGGGTATGTATGACATACAATACCGGACGCCACGAACAAAGGAGGCCCTGCATGATATCATGGCGAACACAATATCGAATATACGCGTCCATACCATCAGTAGCATAACGGGAGAGTGCCTCAGGTACATAACCATAGCGTGCATAAGGTTCTTAAGGTTTACCTCCATGGCATTATACATACAACGTTCCATCCCCTCACTGCATTACATAGCATAACTGGGTCAACATCGAGCAAGCATATCATAGCATACTAGTCATCTCATTCATGGCATGCGGGGTTCTCATTACAATCATGACATGTCAATCAAGCTCATACATACCGGGTAGCAAACCGTGTCACAAACGTCATATACATAAACATGGCATACATAGCATTTCACTACAAGAATCACATACATAAACATGACATACATAGCATTTCACTGCAAGAATCATCTAACCTAGCATACATCAACAACACACATGGTGCATGCAAGAGCTACAGGGCACGCACCAACATACATACATAACTAACGCCAACAGTAAGGTTACTTACCTCGATGGTCTTGGTTGAAGTCACTCAGAACGAGCTAATCCCAGCGGTTAAATACGTCCTATGATAACCACATAAAAACTTAGGAACCTTTCATAACATACCCTAGCTAAACCTCATGCTATTTATCAAAATAAACTCCGACCTAATCTGTCTTTAACGTTTAGGAACCATACTGACCTTGGATGGTAAAATTGAGGGCAGAAATGGCTTCGGAAGGATTGAAAACCTTAGAATCGATATATTATAGTGATACCGAGTCACCAAGCCGAGCTGCCGAGCCGACTAACTAAGCCGCCAAGCCGAGCTGCGGGATTTGACGGAGCCGAGCCGCGGGATTTGATGGAGCCGAGCCACCGTACACGTCAAGCCGAGCCGAGAGCACGCGTGCGGAGCCGAGACCAAGGCTGCAGCGCGCGTCCGTGTTGGGCCGAAACGCACAGGGCCCGCGTTCGTTCCGTGGGCCCTAATCGCAGAGTTCGACTGCCGTTGCCGATGAGACCACCGTTGTCCTTGGTGATGCGTCTGTTCCGCTTGTCCCGAAGTACCCTGGTGTCAGTTTGCTCCTTCCTAAGGGCTCATAGAAGTCCGAAGTCTTGCGACGTTTTCGATCTCTCACCTAACCTTTCGGCTCCTCCCTCACAGGTACGATAGTGACTCGAAAGGAAAAGACAGCTAATAAGTTACCTAGAGTTTAATATGGGGACTCAAGCCATTAATACGCCCTTGCTGGCAAGGCATGCCCCACCGGAAATCCCACGATTTCCGGCGAGATTTAAGGCGTTTTGTTTTTTGAAACCCTTATCATCTAGCATCCAACAAATCTCGGACCAACATCCGATTGTTGAATGACTTCAACAAGTGAAGTCTGCATGCAAGATATCCAACATCCAACAAATCTGCGACCAGCATCTGATTGTTGAACGACCTCAACAACTGAAGTCTGCGTGTAATATATCCAGCATCCAACAAATCTGCACCTCACAAATTGCTTTTCTTTGCTGTTTATAAAAATTAAAAATTTGAAAATATTATATTATTTTCTTTTTTTAATGTTTATAAAATCCTATTTACAAGTGTAGTTAAATAATTAATAAATGTTTTTGTGAACTAAAAAGAATCAATACAAATTTTAGTTGTCATTTTTTGTGAATTAAAAAGAATAAATACAAAACCATTCCAAATTTAATTTTTGCTAAATTTAAAATATACATCATTGGTGATCTAAAAGAGTTTTCCTAATTAATAAATAATTTATTACAAATAATATTTAAAGTAGAGGACATAAATTACCATATTGAAATGAAAATATATGAATTTTTTCGATAAAAAATTGTGTCATTAAATGAAAATCTTCCAATAAAATTATTTAATTTATAGACTAATTCCCTTCCATAAAAAAAAAAAAAAAAAATTAAATCTTTATTTAGACCCTTTATAAATAACTTTAGATTTTGTTTATATATAGAAGTCTTTATTTAAACCGTTTATAAATAACCATTCATTCCCTCGATAAAAGGAGGGGAAAATAGAAACCAAAGCATCTCATCCATTTTCACAAACAAACATGGAAACTGTGAAGCTCTGCCTCTTTCTCCTCTTCGTCTTGGCTGTCGTTGCTCCTCCACTCTCCTTTGCCTACCATGAAACCTCCAACGATTCATCTTACGTCAACGATATTTCTAAATACAGCTTCTTTGGCGGAGACTCCTCGGAAGCCATGACTGAAGATAGTCGGCGACAACTTTTCCAATATGGATTCGCTTATAATAAGGAAGCTCGCAGGAGGTTTTTGACCTACTATGCACTTAGTAAGAATAATATCCCTTGCGGCCGTCGTGGTACCTCCTACTATGATTGCAAGAAGCGTAGAAGGATCAATCCTTATCGTCGTGGTTGTGCTGCCATCACTGGATGTGCTCGATTCACCGATTAAACAAGTTTTATTGCCTCATTGAATTGGATTGTCTTTGCTTTTATCATCATGTATTGATCTGATTGGTCTTCTTTCATTTTATTTTGGTGTCTTGCTTTTATCATAATGAATTGATCTAATGGGTCTCTTTTTAAATTTGTTTCGGTGAATTTTTTTGTTTTTTAAATCTTCATCGTGGTTTGTCACCATTACCAAATGAGCTCGACCTAATGTAATGATTAAGCTCGATTCTCCGATTAAATGGAGTTTTGTTGTCTAGTTAAATTATTTCAGTTTTTTTTTTTTTAAATTCTTGTATTTGAATTGAATATGTTATTGATTGACCTAAACAAAATGGTTTTAATTTTATCACATAAAATATTATGTTTTTTAATTTTTCAAATGTAATTTAGATTTAAATAAAATGATAAAAAATGTAATTTGAATTAAATACAAAACTATTTAAAATTTCATTTTTTGCTAATTTTAAAATATATATTATTGATGGTTCAAAATGGTTTTCTTAATTAATAAATTATTCACGGCAAATATGGTTTAAAATGACATAAATTACACACATGTAACGATCTAGAATTTCTATTTTTAAGTTTAAGGTCCTACTGACTAAAATACGTGTCTTGTCCTACTGACTAAAATACTAAAATACATGTCTTGTCCTACTGACTAAAATACTAAAATACATGTCTTGTCCTACCGACTAAAATACTAAAATACATGTCTTGTCCTACCGACTAAAATACTAAAATACATGTCTTGTCCTACTGACTAAAATACTAAAATACATGTCTTGTCCTACTGACTAAAATACTAAAATACATGTCTTGTCCTACTGACTAAAATACATGTCTTCAGTGCGAATGCGAAAATACTTCATTTCATTTAAACCCTTCAGCTAAACACGACTTAGGTGCAAAACTCCACCCTTCAGCTAAACACGACTTAGGTGCAAAACTCCAAAATACTTCATTTCATTTAAACCCTTCAGCTAAACACGACTTAGGTGCAAAACTCCACCCTTCAGCTAAACACGACTTAGGTGCAAAACTCCAACACAACAAATGACTAAATAAATAAATGTTTAAATTAAAAACCCGGTAGATACTACAACATCTCCTACAAAGTCTCAGGGGCATTTTTGAAACATGAATTAAAGTAGGAGGGGTTTTGAAACATGAATTAAAACAAACACCAACACAACAAATGACTAAATAAAATAAATAAATGTTTAAATTAAAAACTCGGTAGATACTACATCTCCGGGGGCATTTTTGAAACATGAATAAAACAATACTCATTACGAGATTGATAAAACAATACTTTGCCAAAGCGACGAACTCATGAAGGAAATGATCTTTATATGGAAATAAAAATAAAAGAAGGAAATATTTCGATCTTTACATGGAAATAAAAAAAATAAAAGAAGGAAATATTTCGGAAATAAAAAATAAAAGAAGGAAATATTTCGATCTTTACATGGAAATAAAAAATAAAAGAAGGAAATATTTCAGAATCGTAAATGAACCCCAAAATCGAAAGGCTCTAAATGAAACCCCGGGAAATAATAATAATAATAATAATAAATAAATAAATAATAAAAATATATTAAAAACAAAAAAACATTTGATAACAGATCCCTCCTCCTTCCTTCAATCTCTCACCACTCTTTTCCTAAAAATAAATCTGGCAAATCTCTCACTCTCTCACCACTTTTCCCTAAAAATAAATCTGCCAATAAATGAGGAATTCTTTTATTTATCTAGAATTTCTTCGTTCCTACCAAAACAAATAGGAAAAAAAAACAAAAGGTTTAAGCAGATTTAGTTGGGCTGAGGAGATAGGTCATTTGAAGAGAGGTCAGTAGTCGTATGTTAAAGCTTTCTCTTATTTTATTATGTAATATTAATTTGATTACAATTATTTAGTTTTGAATTAGAGATTAAACGAAAAGAATTTTGTATGAGTTTTAGGAAATCACAACCAATTATATTTTAGATCTCTGTTGCAATGATTTAAGTTGTCATAATTTTACATGAATCACATAAAAAGAACCTAACCAAATGATCGATTAAATTAAAAGTTAAGAATATAATTATTAACTAAATCTGAAGGAATGACAAAGGAAATAAGAAAAAAAAACTAAATAGATTATTAACTAAATCTGAAGGAAGACAAAGGAAATAAGAAAAAAAAAACTAAATAGATATGGAAATCCAGAATAAGAGAGAAAAAAAAGTAAAAATAAAAAGGGAAGATTTGGAAGTAAGAATAGATTAACAAAATTGGTCAATAATATCTCCAAAAATAATAATAATATCTCCAAAAATAATTACTGAAGATGGAAGATTGAGAAAAGATTTTGTTAAACATAATTTAAAAAAAATAAAACAGAAACATCTGAGGCAAGGAACTCCATCAAATTTCGTTAGAGAAATAATTTTGTAAATCAGAGAAATAATTTTATAGGGTTCAAACTTAAAACTGGGTTCACTTGGATTTCAATGGACTTTCATTAAGGATAATGACGGAACATCTGTCTAAGCTAACCAGTTAAGTGACCTTACTATCGGCAGGGTTATATTTGATGTTGACACGGGCCCTGTGGTTCTACATGTGTCATATATATATTGCTATGTGTGAATTGTCTGTGGATCAATATGCTTCCTATATGTTATGTTATGTTATTATATGTGGTTTGTATGATAATAATTATGGTACGATGTGCTCAAGGATATGTTTGAGATAGGATACGAGAAGGATGCACAAAACGAAATGTAACGATAGAAGTAAGATACGTTCATGAAACGTTAAGGTTAGGTTACATACCGGAGTGCTATGGATAGGAGGATTGATGAAAGAATACAGTTAGGTTATGGGTAGAAAGGGATAGGTTTGTGATAGATTGATAGAACGATAGCGTTATGGTAAGTTAGAGAACGATATGACTATGAAGTATTTACGTTATGACTTGTTTATGATATGGTACATTGTATGCTAGATTATTGTGCTTAAGTACGTAGTTATGTGAACGTGAATGTATGCTATGTATGCTTTTAGTTTGATGTGATATGTTATACATGTGACGATGGGTGGTCCTTGAACGATTATGGCTTGTTTGTATGAATATTTGAATGTAACTACAAGAATTGTATGACATGAAATACGGTAAATTGCATGAAACATAACCCCGCTAGGAATATGTATGATATGTAAAGAAATGAGAATGAGAATGACATGTCAGCATGAAAACGTGACAGGGGGTTATGTTCATTAATGATAACTGTAGGACTAGTGGGACCTCATGCATATTGTGTGTTCATGCATTTGGGGGATATCCCTGTCCCATCACGAGGGTACGGACGCGTACATCTAATGGCAGAACAACGATCGTTATGCTTTGCATAGCACTGCCGTGACGGTTCTAATTTTAACGGGTCCCAGTATAAGGGGCTCTCAGAGTATACCCACCAGCTAGGGACAGTAGGCCAGCAGTGTGCGAACTAGCTGGTGAGCCCATACTCGCACGTATGGGTTGCGTGTAGAGTATATGGTACACGTCCACGATTATCTGTTAGGATTACACCGTAGGAAAAATGAAACGAAATGAAACGAAAGATAGGTCCCATCATTTCATTGCATGTGATTGTTGCATTTAACCCCGATAGTGGGGTCACTTACTGAGTATTTCTTTAAATACTCAAGCCATGTGCTACTACATTTTTCAGGTTAAGGCAAGGCATTCTTGTACGGCTGACGATGGCATCGCAACTCGAGATCATGGCACATGCATAGGATAGTGACATTTATTTTCTTAGACTTAGGATAGAATAAGATGTCTTAAACTTAAGACTTAGGATAGAATAAGATGTCTTAAACTTAAACGCTTATTTATTTTATTTCGCATCTTTTGTTGTGTTGTTTTAAAGATGTTTTTGAAACACGTAAGTCCATGGCTGTGTTTTAAGTTAAAAGTTATGTTTTATGGAATTTAAATGAAGTCTTCCGCATTCAATGTTTATGGTACGTATACAGTAGCGACCTTAAATTAAGTAGAAAATTTTGGGTCGTCACAGTTGGTTTAACGGCCCTAACTATGGCGGAATATTTTCGAGATGTTAATGAACAAGACATGCTTCTATTTATCAACAATATCTTTCGTTTCGTTCAAGCGGCGAGCATACTCTTGGAGCTTCATAGGCCAAACACCTTTTAGAACTAGTAACCGTCACGATAACATTAGGTTAAACATATTGATCATTCTTCTTCCTGAACGTCGCAGCATAATAATCGTTCTCCTTGTAGCATGATGATAACTATAATGATCGTTTTCCTACCTCGCAACGTACGTTTGTACTATCGTGAAGGGTAAGGGTATCCTGCATGACCCCCCAATAATGCATGAGGTCCCAACATTTTTTTCATTTTCACTATCATTTAATACAACCGTGGTAGCGTTTCGTACATATTTTTCATATCATTTCACATTTTGTTTATCATATCATTTATCTTATATTTCATGTATACGTCGGGGTTGTATTTCATACTAGTTCTTCGTTTTGCATGTTAATCACATCGTATCATTCAAATTACATAACTATGTCATATCATAACTCATATCATAACATTTCATGCTTGGAGACATAACAATTTTCATCATATACATATCATACCCTAAAATTCCAACTAATTTTCTAACATTATATTTTAATTGTCATCCCTCACATTTTTAAAGTAAAAATTAAATAACCAAGTTTAGATTGTGTATATATATAGAGGGTCTTTATTTAAACCGGTTATAAATAACCATTCCTTCCCTCAATAAAAGAAGGGGAAAAAATAGAGACTAAAACTAAGAGTTTCATCTCACCCATTTTCACAAACATGGAAACAATGAAGCTCTGCCTCTTTCTCCTTCTAGTCTTCGCCACCGTTTCTCCTCCATTCTCCTTTGCCTTCCATGAAACCTCCGACGGTTCATCCGCTTTCGACTATAGTTCCCAATACAGTTTTTTTGGTGGAGACTCTTCGGAAGCGATCACTGAAGATAGTCGGCGACAACTTTTCCAATATGGATTTG